GAAAACACAACGACATTAATAAAAACACTACAACATTAATGAAAACAGAACAACATTAACAAAAACACTACAACATTAACAAAGCACAAATACAAATTCAAAAACACAACAACATTAACGAAGCACAAATACAAATTCAAAAACACTACAACATTAACGAAAATACAACAACATTAATGAAAACACAACAACATTAACGAAGCACAAATACAAATTCAAAAACACAACAACATTAACAAAAACACAACAACATTAACGAAAACACAACAACATTAATGAAAACACAACAACATTAACGAAAGCACAACGGAAATGGTATGTCCCAGTGGGTGACCTAAGAAGTCGCTGATTGGACTACAGCTCGTTTTACTCTTGAACCGGAAGTTATTTTGGCTTTAACGTGTTTTTTAAAAACATGAATGTTCTCCGTGATCCAAACCTTACTTCTGCTATTCGAGAGTATTTTGACTCAGGATATACATATGAGGTGATACTGGACATGCTTCGGACCAACCACGAAGTGTCAGTTAGTATGCGTTCGCAAAATCAAAACTAATCTGGCTTACAAGGCTGAGAATAATTACTGAAAAAAATCCCACAACCAGTCACAGGGCTAAATCGCCTCCGCTCCAAAAACTAAAGCTGGGTCAAATGTTTAAAAAAAATAATTTTTTAATAGATTAACCACAGCGCCTCAGTTCTATTCTGGACAAAAGATTAAAAAGTGACAATCAAGATATTTCCCGTGTCAAAAGTATGACATAGCTACAATGTCTTTTTAAATGTGTATCACCTTTCAGATGATATCTTGGATGCCACTTGATGTCTTGATAAAACCGTCAGCAGTAGTTGATAATGAAGACTGAGAGTTGTTTAATACTTTTAATTGAAATTAAAACAAAAGCAAAAATTACTGAGAAGACTACTGTCTGTCTGAGTAAGACAGCTATGGACGATGCCTTGGCCATGACTAACACTCCCCCACATGTTCCACACTGATTCCCAAAAGTTACACGCCCCCACTTTCCCATCCTTTGCAGCCCCCTAACCTAGCAGCATCTTGTGAGTCAGGGAGTCTGAGCTCTTTCCTCCAGACACAAACCCACAACGCAGTGGCCTTTACATTCCTGTCCGCTCACATGCGGTTTGGGAGGCCAGACTGCGCTCCGGTCACCACGTTCGCCTGCCTCGTTTGGATTGGCAGTTTGCAGCTCAACAGACAACCGTCTCTCCAGCCGTCTGCTGCTGCTCTTGCCTGTCCATCTCTAAACACAACACACGCAAGCAAAGAAATCTGGGGAGAAAATCTGCTGTTTGGCTTTGCTGGCATCAGCCGTTCTAGTAGTGAAACTGTGACATGTGATTTAGGGTAAAAAAAATTAGCCGTTTGTTTCAAAGCCAGCAAATAAACATGCTGATCAAATTTCCAGAGCCGTAGTTTTGGCAGCGACCCAAAAGCCAATCAAAGCGCAGGAAAGAGCGGAGCAGACCGCGCTCCCTCCTTCCACTGGATACGACTTATGCCCTGGACACACGACAAGACTTTTCCATTTGTAAGCAATGATGAAAATCTGGACAAGCTTATTCAACCACTGACATTTTAAAGCTTTCACTGCAGGGTTAATTCTTAAAGTCATCCTCCTGACACAAAGACCAGAGTGCAGTGACTTGGCCTAACAAATGGTTCTGAATTAGAAACAAGCTGTGACTGAAATGATGCATAAATATCCAACAACATGCCTTTAAAAATATTGTCATTAAAAGGTGAAAGCCACTCATGCAAACAGCCAGGTGGACTTGCATCATCGGAGTCGTCACATGGACTTGGCATACACTGTGTTTATGTTTCAGCTAATAGGTTGTCATTTTCCATAGAGGAGATTTTATACATGTAACTCACAGATACTCAGAGAAGGTACATTACTGCTCAAAATTAGACACTAAATAAAACAAAACAATGTGAGCACAGTGATAAAGGAAAATAATTTGATTTGAACAAATATTTTTTAAGATTACCCACAAATGTTTATCATTGAAATAATTGAATAGACCATTGAGACTGATATCTTTTTGTTTGATAAAAACAAATCTTAAAAATTGAAGAAACATGCAAACAAAAAAAGGACATTAGATATGAAACCACTGAATGTGACGTTTAAGGTGGGTTGAATCCCTGCTGGGGCCCTTTTGAGTTTGCATGTTCTGCCCGTATGTGCAGCTAAAGTTCACTCCCTCATCCAAAAACAGATGTTAGGTCAAAATGTGACTCTACTTTGACCCTACAAGCGAGTGTGGGTATGTATGGTTGTTTATTTCTGTGTGGCCATGTGATAGGCCGGCAACATCTCCATGGTGTACTCTGCCGCTTGCCCAATGGCAGTTGGGGTACGCTTCATACCCCCCAGCCTTGACTGGATTAAGCAGGTATAGAAAAATAATAGATCATCCTTTTAGCCCCTATGTTTATTAGTTCTGTAAATGCTTTGTATGTGTTGAAAATGGCCGCAGGGAAAGTTCAAAATGCATCAGATTTAAACGCATTCAGGAAAGATATTTCAGAAGTTAACTGACAGTGCCCCTTAAAAGAAGAAAGGTTAATCCTTTGTCTTCTTCACAGTCAGTGATAGGTGGAGCATCTCAGAAGCGAGTGAAAAATCAACAAAACTGGTGTTCGTTGCCTCATTCCCTGTCTTTTCTTTTTTACTCACCATGCACTCAAGGGGAGGAGCCTTGGGTCAGATTTGAATCTAATAGTCAATTATTTTTAGCCTTTGTTTTAGTTTCCTTTTCACCTAAAAGCAACACAGTGTTAGGTATGCTTCTTCATGTAGCAACATATATTCTTACATTTAAACGGCGCTCTGTAATTGCATCAGGTCATGTGGCGAACCACACCAATCTGTCAACTAAAATGTTGAGAAAAAAAATCAAGAATTCGAAACCTCATTTTATCCAGGGCTGCTTGGCGCAAACTAAATAAACACAGACCCCCACATGTGGAGGTTAAAAGGAAAATAAAAGGCATTTTGCCTGGCAGCTCCCCCTGTTCTTCCTCATCAGTCTGACACACTAATCACGGGTCTTAAAACTCCCCCACTGCCACGCTGCCAACATCCTCATGCCACGCCCTGATTACAACTTTCTGATTGGTCCAAATTGGCTGCACATGTGGCCCAGGGTCACAGCTGACGGAGGCCATAATATGAAATGCAGGCTCACACAAATTACAGGACAAGTCATGCCATTGCAAACAACAGGACGTGCATGGCTGTAAAAAATGGATGCATTAGCCGACTCACAAAAGCAGTCCTATGTGATTTTAACCAAAATCAATATCAGCCCAAAGCAAGCTTTTAAGTTTTTCTGTAGGCTCTTTTTGTTTTTGAAAAGTCAGTGTAATAAATTACATGGTCTACAGACGTTTCTAAAAATAACAACGAAGAAGCCAAATCTTCTCAAAATAAATGGCCGCAAACCACACTTAAGAAGCCAAACAGTCACAGCGAACCAGTAAAAGAGCGAAACAGAGCACATAAATCACACCCCACAGCATGCATTATAATGACATGGTCACATAAACGCAGGACAAATGATTCCTCGCAGCTCTTAATACGACTCCACTGAATGAGACCCGCGCAAGAGCTGGACCTCTCTGAGGCCCAGACCGTCACGGGGAGCAAAGATACGAGGCGGGAAAGAGTGCCCATAACAATGGTCTGTGTTTACACTGGCAGAGCCCGGCTTTGTTTTCACTGGGCTCTGCAGACCAGTGTGTGTGTGTGCATGTGCGGGTGTGTATTCGCGGGCCATGTGCTGACCACTGCAGAACACAGTAGAGACAAAACCCTGTAAGCCAGAGGGGATATAATGAAATATTAAACCACACTTTATCTGAGGTGAGATCAAACCTCTGCCAATAATTTGAATGTATTTTAGCCTTTATGAGCGTGCATGGGGGACTGCAAAGCACTAAATATTTTGGGGATACTTTCGGGGCATGATTTAATGTTCAAAATGTTTTGGATCTCTGAAGTTTGGCTCAGAAACAGGGCAGCTTAATCCGCACAGACTTTGTTGTAATGTAGTCTCTAAGCTGTGCTCAATGTCGCCGTGCAACATTCAAGCCGACCGAAAAGCCAGAAATGAAGTGTAACTAGACTGAGATTGGTTTTGTGCTGGATGCCAGACATCCAGAGTTAGCTCAAAATCAGATAGCTAAGATTAAACATTTAACTTTTCTGAGGAAGAAAACATACATGCTTTAGGTTTAGGTTTGCTTTGGGAAATATGCCGTCCTTTATTGATGCTGCACACAGTGAAAAAAAGAAAACACACATCGAGACAACGTGCTGGCATTGTGCAGGAAGTCTTAGCCAAAGTGTCTGGTTTCAATCAGCACGCAGTCGGTGCCTACTTAATCTACGGCATTAAAGTGCTGGTTAAAGCTCAACATTTGCTTGATAAACACAAAAGTGCGATGCCTTAAAAAGCAGCTATCAATGTTTATGAACACATAAACTTACAAAAATCCCTTATTGTTCTCTTTGAGGTCTGGCTTCTAACACAGAAATGCATTCAGGCATGCAGACGTCTCCACACACACACACACACACACTCCTAAACCCATCCACCAACCCACACACAAAGACACAGTCATTTTTCACTTAACTAATGGCATTCCTGTAGAATAACA